TATGAAGCACCCCCAGGTTCTAAGAGTCAGAACTATACAAAAAATATATACTCAGGTTTGCTTCCTCCTCATCCCTACTGCTCTGTTCACGCCCATCCCCCATAAATATGTAACCAATCTCATTTCTTTCTTGTTTATCCTTCCTGTATTCCTTTTGTACAAAAGGCATGTGTTTATTTTGTTTTGCATATGTATATCTTCCAGTAGCCCCTTCTTTCTTTCAGAAAGGGTACAATATTATACTCTTTTGCACTTCGTTTTTTCCACTTGACAGCATATCCTGAAAATCACTCTAAGTCAGTTCATAAAGATCTTCCCCATTCTTTTCTACAGCTGCACAACAGTCCATTGTATGAAGGTACAATAGTATATACAGTCATTCTCCTATGTATGAGCATTTAGGTTATTTCCAGTATTTTACAATTATAAACAATGCTCCAGTGGATATCCTGTGTGTGTATACACTTTCGTATTTTTGGAAGTATATTTTCAGGGTAGATTCCTAGATGTGGAAACGTTGGATCAAAAGATAAGTGTATATATAGTTTTATTAGGTTATTGTCACATTCTCTAGATGGGCATACCAGTTTCCATTCCCACAATGCATGAGAGTCCCGGTTTCCCCACAGTTACTTTTAATTTTCACAAGTCTGACAGGTGAGAAATTATATTTCAGTGTTATTTTTCTAACTCTGAGTGGGTTTGAACACTTTTTCATATGATTAAGGGCCATTTATATATCTTTCTTCTGAACTGTCTTTTTCCCAATTTTTCTACTGTGTTTTATAGTTCTTTTGCCCCTCAAATTTTAAAGTCTGTTATACTTTAGAATTTATGGTGTTTTTGTGATGCAAAAATTTTTTATGTTATACAAATTCATCAGTGTTTCTTTTTATTGCCTCTAAATTTTAAGCCATTGTTAGAAAGTCTTTCCCTACATCGAGGTTTAATTTTTTTATTGCAAGAAAATTATTTATCGTTTTATTTATTCTAGTTGGTCTTTACAAAGAATCTACTTTTTTTATCATTAAGGCTTAAAAAAAAAAAGTATTCATTTCATTAATGTCAGCACAGTAAAAGAAAAAACACCTCAGGATTGTACCAGTAGATACCAAAATACAGGTAACATATTGAGCAGTCATTTAAGAAAGAAATTAATAAAGTAGAAAGGAGAGAAAAACAGCAGACTTAATTAATATGTCAAAATCTTGGTACTCTGAAAAAATTAACAAAATACACCACTAGCTACCTTGATCAAGAGGAAAAAAAGGGAGAAAGCACAGATATACAACCTAACAATGGAAACACAAGAAATTAAAAGCTTCCTTTTTGTCTTTCAGACATTATAATCTCAATCTCACAAAGCTGTACTTGCTAATATCTCTGTATTAGAATACACAAACACACATAGATAGCATCAGCCCCAATCAACTGTATCACTGGCTCCTTTTCTCCATTCAGGACTCAGCCCAAAGAGCTCCTATGCAGAGAAGCCTTCCTTAACCACTCTAGCTAAAGAGGTAGTCCATCACTTTTCAGTTTTAACATTTAATTATGGAAAATTTCAAAGACAGAGAAGTACAGAACTCCTATACACTCATCGCCCTGTTTCAATAATTATCAAGTCATGGCTAATCTTATTTCAACCACCCCGTCCCCATCCATTCTGAAGCAAATTCCAGACATCTTATCATTTAACCTACAAATGTTTCTCAAGTATGTATCTCAAAAACATAGCGCTTTTCCTGTGAGCAGCTATCTAAGATACTCCACTGGTCTCACCCCTTTGGGAACAAGGGAGAATGAAGAGAACAGGATACAAGGAAAAGATTAGTCCAAAGGACTAATGGACCACAGCTACCAAGGCCTCCACCAGACT